GCTGAGGGGATAAAGGTTGTAGCTGAGGGGATAAAGGTTGTAGCTGAGGGGATAAAGGTTGTAGCTGAGGGGATAAAGGTTGTAGCTGAGGGGATAAAGGTTGTAGCTGAGGGGATAAAGGTTGTAGCTGAGGGGACAGTATAGACAGGACATCGAATTTCTGCAAAGCCACGAAAATTTCCTCACTTCTTCTCTGAAGAGGTTAAAAAGGAACGCCAGATTTTGGGGCACCGCGTATACTTAAGAAAACACCATTTCGCGGGAAGAGTGGAGCCGAGTACTTTTGAAACTGATGTGACAGTCAAAACATGCGCACATCCGTACCGCTCTTCAAACTCATACGGGCTTGGATCAAATGCGCGACGGTGGTAGAAAAGAGTACTGACCAGGAAGTAATTCAGGGTCGTAAATCACACCGACACGCACCAATTGTTCTCCTAGCGTTGTCAGCACTTAGCACTGAAGAATAATTCCGACTTAATTTTATCGAGGAATTTGGAATCGCTGAATACAATTGAAGGTGATTTTTTTAAAATCTTCCCATTCTGCCTGTTTAATGACACCATTAAAAGCTAAGCTCCTCCCCACGTCAGAAAGCATTACGTAACAATCAAATTCCTCAGGTTTTGGCTGGTAGGAATTTTGTCCGTTTGTGTGCAAAATTGGGAAAAATAGAACAGAAAAGAGACCCGTAAGTATTATTAGTTGCTGGAAGTGGCAGAGGTGATGTTTATCCTATTTTCGATAAAAAAAACTCAAGGAATTTTTCTCTCTTTTGGTCTCTTGTCACAGCTATGAGGAAGAAATCTTGGGTTGTTCGTTTTTCTGTGTCGTTCAACCTTCATCACCACGGCAAAAGTTGCCGGTCTACGAAAGCAGGTAATTAGCATGTAATGTAACAACTATTGTTTGTTGTTGGTTGCCAGCAGCTTTGTTCAGCTGGTTATGTTGTTGATTTTGTTGAGCGTTCGGTTTGTTGCATGTTTGATTTTATTGCATATTTGCTTGTTGGAGCCTTTTGTGCCCTCTATAGTTTGCAAAATCGGTACTGCGCTGAAACATTTTTGTTCATAGTGTGTCCAAAGTGAAGACTTGTTTTTATTTTCAGATTAAAAAGACAAAGACCATCATAGGAAGACGAGTTGACTTGCCTGCAGAGGGCGTCTCGAATTGAAATCCTTAGAAGACGACATGGACTCCCTGGCGACCAACGGAAATGTCACTGTGACGGACGAACCAACCTCTTTTGGCGACGTAGTTCTAAAGATCATTTACACTATCATCGGTCTGCTCGGGATTGTTGGTAACTCTCTCGTCATTTACCTGGTGTACAGGGTCCCGTCTCTTCGTTCTGTTACAAACGTATTGATCTGCAACCAGGCTATTATAGACTTGACCAGTAGCGTATTTTTTGTGTGTCTTTATCTTCTGCCCAAGCCATCGCTGCCCGAGTCGGCCGTGGCAGCCAGCGTGCTCTGCAAGCTCTGGCTGTCCGACTGGCCGCTCTGGGGCTTCTCGGTGAGCTCCACAGTCAACCTGGTCCTCCTCACCATGGAGCGCTACTTCGCCATCAAGCACCCGATCAAGTACCGCACCAGATTCACCATGCGGCGCGCCAAGGCGCTGGCTGTGTTGCCGTGGTGCGTGGGCCCGCTGCACGAGCTGGCGTGGGCCCTGGTGCAGACGGTCGACGCGGAGGGGAACTGCGACCCGTCATGGCCGTCGGTCACCCTCCAGCAAATCTTGGGAGTGATCTTCTTCATCGATCACTACATGCTTCCCGTCACAATCATGATGTACGTCTACACCACGATCATAATGAAGCTGCGTCGTGACTGGCGCTCGTCTAGTGTATCACTGCCCCGCACTGGGCACGCGCAAACCACGACCAACAACAGCATCAGCAGCAACAACAACGACTCAAAAGTCATCTCTGGTGCGGAAGGCAGATCTACAAGTGGAAGACGACAGTCTACCTTTCGCTCAGCCGTTCTGCCGCCCAGTAGGAAACATTTCAGCCTCCTTGCTTCCAAAAGCGTGCTGCGCACGCTCCTCATAGTCTCCGCTTCGTACATCGTTTGCTGGGGTCCAAACGAGACCATCTATCTTCTCTTCAACCTCGGCGTCTCGGTGGAGTTTAACGGGCTGTATCACAACATGTCCGTCGTCTTCGCCCTATGCAACATGTGCCTCAACCCCATTGTCTACGCCTTTCATTACGAGGAGCTCAAGAAGGCGCTCCGGAAGAAGCTTCCCTGCAAGACAGGCTGGAAGGCGAGACCACGACCCTGCTGCTGCAAAAAATCCAAAACGTTTGAGTTAGGAGGACTGGAGCAACACCTCGCAACAGTGACGTCACCACATGGCTCTATTCAACAACTTTGAAAATGAGCCCACACTCCCTTCAACGACGGTGCTGAACATGAATCTCAATGAATGGACCACAAGCACGGCCTATACAAACGGAGATCTGCTATTTTATGCCGCTTTTTCGCTGGGTTCTTGAAAGCTTCACGAAACCGCTTTTATAGCAGCGTCACCAAACTTCTTTGTGAACTGCGATTTGTTGGAAGGTTGGTAGAGCGCCCTCTATACGCGACATTTTCTGAAGGGAAGGTGTTCGGTGATTTATAATAGGCAGGGGTAGATTGGATCTATGATCTAATTAATGCAGTGCCTTCTAAAAAAAACACAGTTTCACGATATGAACCTGTTGGCAGGTTGTGTGCAGGTTTTTTGAGGAAAAAGACGTCAGACTGTAGGTAAGAATATTAATAGACTGTCGTTCCTACAGCACAGTGCATTGTGAAAAAGCAATGTCACGCACAATGACATTTAAATACAATTATGCGATTGTGCTGGTTTTCTTTTTTAATTAAGATATTTTCGTCGGCTGAAAATTGTGATCTGTTGTTTAGGGTCGGGCTGAGTACGGGATTTTGATGTAGCAGACGTAAGTGAGCCCAAACCTATGCCACAAAGTTTAACAGTAAACACGGGCACAATTAAGCTTTCACAACTGAGTTTATGAAGCATGCAATACACTGAAGAAAAAATGGCACTGTTGTGATTGATGAGTTCCAGTCGTAGGACTTTCATAATCGTCCTTTGAGTTCTTGTTGTGGAGAAGCTATTGAACTCGGCCCCCGGGGGCTGTGTCGTCTAGACGTGATGTTACAAAACTCTCTGCGGGTCTGACTGTCAGCTCGCCGCGGGTCTCAGTATCGGCGGTTGTTCAACCGTCTTTCCGGAGCCGGGGGAAAGGGACTTGGATTGAAACGCGGATTGAGGGAAATGGATAATTATTGCGATCGTCCGTTTGAGCGCTTGGCGAAGGAAAGAGCGTTCCTTTGTGGTATGCTGGTTTTAGCCCCGAGGGGAATATGAATATTCCTTTCAGTAACAGTGAGTGGGTCTTTTTTGGCCCTTATGTGCATCGCTGAATATGTGGCAGTATGTGTCCCCCGGGAGCGGGACTCCGCCCACGCCAGATACGTCACTTCGTACTAAAGCATTAGAAGTAAAGCCCCATAAGACAACGCTCTGTATGGACACATAGATAGCTAGGTGCCGTGAAACGTTACTGTAAGAATATTTCTCTTCAGCATCTCAAGTCCTTCGTCGGAAGTAAGACTTCAGGAAGGCTTTTGATTTATGATGGAGCGGGATATCGACTAACCGACTGTTGACTTAAACACTAAAATCCTAAATTGGTTTCGGGTATGTGCATAGGTGGCGCTGTCCACCTTTAAAACGCACGGACAGAAAAGAACGAGATCAGTGCTAGTTCCTACAATTTGTATTCAGGAAATGTGAATAACCGTACTCCAGTCATGCACTGCCGTTGCTTGGAAAACTGAACACACCGTTTTTGTTGCAAGCGCACGCGCACTTTTCGGCAAGTTTGCCGTTTTGTTTATTTTCACGGCGACCTTGTAGCTTCATTTTCTCGGTACCAAACAGTTCTCGCTGGCTGGCCCCCGTGACAGGCGGCACGTTCGCTCCTCGTCCCCTCCAGCCTCACATCCACTGTTGTAAAAGGATAGACCACCCCCACGCGCACCATTAATACTCCTGTTTACATCGACACCATCCTTTCACCCAACCCTTCTGGCCGCAAACAACGTCAAAGTGAAGTCACTCCTTACCAAGAACTCACCGAATGAACTAGGGCCTACATTTCCCCACTGTGGGGGCGTGAGTTCAACCCGACGTCCAGCATGCATGTGCATGTCGCGTCAAACATGGCGAGTAATAAGGCCACAGTATTTCAGAATGGGTTTTGTGGGCGCTATACAATAAAGGCAGAAGTTCATTCTCAATCTCAGACAACAAACAGCAAGGTTTTAATAAACAAATGAAAAAAGGAAAGCCTGGACCAGCGTGTATTTCTACCGACACATATTGTCGGTGGTTGTATTATTACATCGACCTCAAAAGCCACATTTGTAACCTCGTTTAATTGTGATCATTCTTTTTCCATCAAACAGTTTAAACACACACAAACACTCAAAAATCTTACTCTTTATTCATGGAACAATACTGACAAGAATTCGAGGAAAGATTTGCGGTATCCAAGTAACAAACAGACCCCCTTGTTGTTTGGAAGCTTTTCCGCGCCCTGGATCAATTGCGGTTAAGAAAGGCACACTTGCTCACCGAACAATAACATTAAAATTTGGCACCATTTCACATCTGTGAATAAAAGTTTCAATATTTCCACACGTTTGATACAAACAGTTGAACAGAAAAACTAAAAGTTGGCACGAAAGGTAACAATGAACTTTAGGCCGCGGAAAAAAAGACAAAAAAACTGCCCACTGGTGCATCCATAATGATTCCCCAGTGAAACGTTTTTCCTATTGTTTTTATTTTTCTTGACGTTTACTCGTCTCGCTTGAGGTTCTGATATGTAATCACAGGGTTAGTTGGACGGAAATGTAATCATATTTTTTTGTGGTAATTACAAATAAAAACAGCAAGAGTGCTATCCTGTGTAAATTTCTTGGAATGCCATTAATGACAAACGAAATTTTTGAAACACCCTTTTATTTTACCCACCATGTACATTTGAAGAATCTCTTTTTACACTAACAAGAGTGGATTGCACTGACACAAATGAAACAGCCGTCGAATCGCACAGGCCATTGACCACATTCAAAAGTTTCAGCGAGGGCAAAAGTTGAAAGATGTTTTGTCACATAATTCACACACAAATAAATAAATAAATCACACTGGAATGTGTTATAGTCACGGAGGATTAAGACAGGTTTCAGTCTCCCTGCATTATGGAAACGACTGCTTAACACGTCTCATGAGCATAGTCTTCATTCAAGTCTAGCTTCTGGCTGGTCTCACACAATCCAGGTCAGGTACCGTTACATAACGACAAACACAAGCCTTGTATCAAGACTAAACGGAAAGCTAGTCCAAACATCAAATTCCGCAGCTGGCGGATTCTCCGGGTTGAGCAATTCACACGCGAAAATATTTACACTGGAAAATTGTGCCTGTCTGGTCACGTAGCTGAACAGGGATACCAAAAGGTCACAATCTGGAAGCTTACACATAATCATAGCGAGTAAAATGAATGCAACCACGCAAGAATCAATATTTTCGTTGGGAATTTCTGAACTTGAAACAAGCATCGCCCATGGCGAACAAATTTCTAAAAGGAAGCTTCTTTGCTCCAAATAACAAACGCCTTTATATTCGACATGTTAGAAATAGATTTCACTATATAGACTAATCCGATTAGACGCCATAACTGCGGTGGCACCGCACTCACACGCACATTCTTTAGCTTGACGCGCGCGTCACGACACCCACGACACCCTATTGGTCGAAAAGGCATGTAACGCGCGCGTACCACCTGTCCACGAGCGTCGTGCCACAGAAGTAATGGCTTCTAATTCTGGTGGTCGAATTACACTATAGAGTAGCATTTGTCATGGACGGTGACGTGCAAAGGAAATGAAACGACATAGCTGGACAGGCGCACTGTGGTTTTGGACTTTTTGTCAAAGCTCTTTTACACGACGGGAATCGATACCGTGCACGATATGGGGCCGATGGGTACCCCCCCCACATGTCCAGTCCCTATACACACTCTAGACTATTGAGATTCCGATCAAACAATGACCAACACAAAGGCGGCGGGGGGGGGGGTCTCTGCCCCATATCTTGAATTATATGCGGGAATTGTAATTTCTTGCTTTTTTTTGTTTCAAAAGAAGCCCACAGACTAGATCATTTCACTCTAGAAAATTCTAAATTAAATGGACGAAAAATCGACTTGCTTTTCTGCACAGATGACACAAGGACATCATCACGTGTGTCCAACCTCAGTCATTGGGTTCATAAATAGCAGACTTTACGTTGTGGGCAAGAGGAGACTGTCACTCTTCATCGATGCAACTGAGTGCGTCTTGTAAGATGCCTTGATCCTCTTCCTTAGCGTATGCAATCTCGCTCAGCCAACTGACAATCCTCTCCCTCGTCACGCTGTCCATTATTTCCCCGAGGACTTGTGCCTCCGTCTTTTTGCTACCGGCGTCTGTCTTGCGTGCCTCGCCCTTCGGCCTCTGGTAGATTTCCGGCATGCTCTTCCTCCGTCTTCGCTCGCTCGCCTTGGTCGCGTCGACCTCCTTGTGCTGTTGCGAGGGCGGGTGAGGTGTACGCTCCGTGCTGTCCCCGGTATTTCTGCGGACCGGCCGACTTGTGGCGATCTTCCCCGGGCACGGGTCCTCGTCTATCGGCTGGTGTTTCTGTGACAGGCTGAATCTGGTCCTCCCAGGAGCGTGGTATGACGGGTGCGGTTTGCTTGGATTGGTCCTGGGTGGGGAGGGAGCTGGGACCCGGCGTTCGACTTGGGCCTCCCCGACTGGGGCGTGCGGAATTTCCTCGGCCGGAAACGGCGTGACCGGTCTGTTGACGACCCTCCGCGGAGACAGCTTCCGCCTCCTACAGAGCTTCTCCGTGGAGGCGACGGTTGAGGCATCTCCGGACGACAGGGACAGGGAGGAGCGGCCGTTGCTGCTGCAGATGGACCGCCGGCTGCTGCTCCAGATGTCCCCCAGGGACTGGTCGCTGTTGCTGCGGGGACGGGAGTTCGGTGCGCCGGTGATCGGCCGGTGAGGCTCGCGCCTCGTCCTGCCGTCGTGGAGCGACCGGCGCTGAGCCGGCGGCGACGTGAGCCGGCTGTACTCGGCTATTGGCGGAAAGTTGGTCGTACTTTGTTGCTGGCTTTCCCTGCACATCTTGCTTCTAAGACCACCCGGTTTATGTCTAGCCATGGCATAAGAAACACAAGGAATTGTCAATAAATTGGTGAGCTTTAACAAGCAACGTGGATGTCCGGATTTCAAGGCATCTGTGAAACATCTGTATGAACAACCGAAGTGATTACTACGAAAGAAGTAACGACAAGGATATACGCTGTTCACTCCCCATGTACATGTACTTACGTTACACCTTTACCCCGTACGTTTTGTTCTGTCACGCACGACGACGACTGTTCTTTGAATGGGTGTGCTTGAAAGTTAATATGATCTCTGGAGATTTCGTGGGCTTGACCGTAGCGCATAGCGATTACTGCATTGGTTTTTCGAGGAATGTATGGTGGGTTAAAAGAGAGGTGTGCCTGCAGTCGAATACTCTCGCCAGTACAGGCACACAAATGTCTTTGCTGCTAGCTACTTTTAGAACCCCTTGAGAGTTCTGTTAGCAGTGAAACAGTCGTCGGCATGAGACAGGTAGCTTGGTTTTACCGGGCTTATTTGCCGCCCCGGACTTCGACTTTAGTTAGTCGAAGTCCAGGGCGGTGACCCGGATCGGTAGTTTACAGTTCTAAACGAGCCCCAAAAGAAGGACAATAAAAATCCAATGGTGTGATGAAGCAAGCATAAATCCGTCTGATTAGTCAATTCACAAGCAGCGATTTCCAGCAGAACTAGTGACGTCACTGTGAGACAAGATCTCGTTCTTTTCCTGTTTACTCGGCGCTTCAACAAAGCAGGGCCAGGAAAATATACCTTGCGATGTCTCGATGAAAATCATTCATCGCGGACATCATAAACTGGATTAATTTACTCACGGGCTGACCCCCCTTGTGACTTCTTGGGTTGGGTAAAATTGACAGATAAAATACACCGTGCCGGAAAGATGGAACACCAAGACTTTCATCCATTGTAGAGTTTTCTTGCTGGTGTCATTACTTGAGTAATCAAGTTTTTTTGCGGTAAATATGCTTGCAAACGATACCTCCCTCCGGAGAGCAGTTAATGTGACAGATTGTCAGACTACGTAAATGTGTGGTTTCTCCCTTGCTGAGTTTGATGCAATGTGAACTGGATTTCGTCATATTTCCAGTGAAATCACCAAGATTCATGGCACATTAGCTATCTGTCACACGTCAACAATGTGGAAAATGTGCAGGCACAACCCTCAAACGACTCAAACGCGTAGGTGAATAAAACAATCCGCTCGAATTTTCAGAAATCATTCCGAGACGACAGGAAGTAAGAGCCTGCGTCAAATTATCGAAAAATAAAGAGAGGTAAATCACGATAACATGCATGAGGTCAAAAGGGCGAACATGTCACCGTGGTAACGGACCGCTGTGGCCTGTATTTCAAGCCTAGAAAGTTCCTCCGTGTCAGCCGGGCGACTGATGGCGGTATTTCACTGCCGTTGAGCAGCTCCGGGTACATTAACGGCCGGACAGGGACCCGCGTTCGCACTTTACCTCACATTGTCCCCCCCCCCCCGACCTTTCTTGTTACCACTTCAGTTTTGCCGGATTCTGGGGCACTGCGACAAGTGCAAGGCGCTCTTGAAGAGAGGTCTTCAACCCTAATACTGGGAACTACGCCAAATGTTTAAGCAAGAGGACTTGGGCCTATTGCATAAACCAAATTGGAATTCAAACTTTTTTTATTCGATCACAGGCTGCCAGAAAAGAAAGAAATCTTAGCCAACTTCTTGCAATACGTTCTTCTCCCCACCCCCAAAACAATTTTCCAATAATTATGTGCCCAATTTTTTTTCAGGTTTTACATATTTAATGACTGCCCTTCTCCTAAAATGCCTCATTTTTATCTGCCGAATTTTCTCTTTAATGTCTGAGCGCCGACCAAGTTTCTCCCCTCTTTTTCTTGACGATTTTCGTAAAAAAAAAACCGAGAGGTGGCAGGTGTTTCCCAAGTGAAGACAAACTAGGCCAGGTTTCCTTTGGATTCAAGAGAGGACGGGACTCTATGGGGGTTAGAGCTGGTCTAATGCGGGGAACAAAAGTTGGTGCAAGCTATGAGACAATCCTCATCGCCTTCTACGGGATTTCAAATTAATATTGTATCACAGAAATGCGATCACCGCAAATATTACAATGAGACTACATATTTGTGCAGAGGTGGAGATAATGAATATTGATTAAGATTAAGAAAGCCGACGGCAAAAATACAGTTAGTAACTTCACGTCAGTGATAACTCATGTAAGTCAGGTTGGTGTAGTGTTTCTTTCCTCACCTTCTACCGGTGGGGACCCGGGTTCGAATCCGGCTCGGTCCACATACGGATTGAATCTGTGGGTTCCCCCAAGACATTTCTCTGGAATTTTCCTCCCACCTCTAAAACTGAATATTAAACGGGGGGGTCGGTTCTCCATTAATTCAAAATAAAGGTAAAAATTATAGTTTTAAATCGCGGGGACGCAGCCGAGGATTGTTGATAGAGTGGCGATAAATTACCTGTGATGCGTCCAAACACACAAATTATAAAAATAATGGTCGTGTGCCATGTCCGGCAGAAGGGCGTTATTTGAGAAGCTTTGTCCTGGCCCCCCAAAATCACAATGCGTCAGAGGCTCGACTCATTTCACTAAGCAATAATCTGCTAAGGTTTTTCAACGTGTAGCAATTTGTGTGTGTTCTGTCTGATCGGTTCTTGGTAATTAAAAATGACAGGTTTAAAAATAAAACAAAATCTGAAAACATACACAATGTTAAATCACACTCTGCATCAGTAAATTGAGTTTTCCTTATTTAATGCGGTTCGTTAATGAAAACAATTAAACTGAAAGCAACAACGTGAAGGTTTTTCGACTCACCTCAAATCCTCTTTTACGTAGAATGGAGTCATCTGCTATGGCATCTTCGTGAGTAAATTTCCATCTATAACAGTCTTGTTGATGTTGAATCATGCCCCTGCACAAATACAGTTTCCTTGAACCTGAAGACACGCAACCTTGCCCCGCGCGCACGAGGGTCGGAAACACGCTGGAGGCCCGGCTAACGGCACAGAACTCTCCCGTCATCAGTTTGTATTGGCTAATCTCTCCCAAGAATGCGAGGGTCACCCGGTCCTTGCTGATTGGCCTGTGCTATGGCAACAGGCCAATCAGAAATCACCAGATTGGGTCGTAAAGTTGGCCTGACACTGACAAGTGCACGGGGATGACATAATGTCGGGGCCGCATTGTTAATCAACAGTGAAAGAAAGTTCACTTTTTGTACACGCTTGAGATTTCCGCGCACAATAGGCACTCAATCAGATTTTTTTTAATCTCAGAAAAAGCCGTGACGGCGCTGGTGTGGACGGTTGCATTCCCTGTGAGGGCACGTATTCAAGGATGGTCGCTCGGGGAGGGCTGCGGGGGGGACACGTTGTACGCTCTCGGGGTCTTTTTTTTGTACAGTCACTTTGAAAAACCCCTTCGGTCTTTGTTCGAGTTTTCCCCACAAGTCAGCTGAGTTTAATAGTTACGCATTTGCTTTCATCGACGCATGGGCCTACGTGAGGAATCTGCTTGGTTGTTGATGAGCACGAGGGTTCGGCGTGAACAGGGGGAAAGGGTTCAACCGGCGGGCACGACCGGGGCGAAACGTTGAACTGAAAAAGGTGGACATGTCAAGGTGGTCGCACCATGCAACTTTGCGTTCTAGCTTCATCGCCGGTGTTTTAACCTGGCCTACTTTCGCTGCTGGGATCGGGGAACGGCTTACTATCACAACTATCCTGATTTCCGACTGCATGTAACTGCAAGCCCTTAATTAAGACGCATTCTGTGACAAAACGTTTATATGTCATGGCGCATGAGAAATGCATCTTTTGGCATTAAATATGGAGAATCGCTCGCTGGTAACGGGGGAGGGCTAGGTCACTATACAGTCAACGATAAATGACAGACCAATATCTCAGTGACTTAAGCCCACAATCTGAGCCCAGTAAGTCATGATCCATTCCAGCAACAATTACATATATATCCAAAAGTTATGAAGAGAAAAAGGTCAGCCAAAAGGCTGAAATTATAACAGTTGTTTTTTGTCTTACGCGTAAAGATGGGGGTTTTCCTCGCCCTACACTTCTGGAACCCGGGTTCGAATCGAACCATGGACGTGAACTGGATTCCAGACCCTGATTTTTTCTCCGAGTACTTTGTCGTCTCCTCGCTCTAAAGTATTTCCTCTGTTTCAGGGTTATAGCGCATGTTCAGGTTTGAACAACCCCTGGTCCAAAGGTTATCAAAGTAAATGAAAATTCGTTAGGGTACAAAATTATGACAAATTACTGAGTTAGTTATTAACGACTGGAAAACAGACTCAGTAAGTATTGGATCGCAGATTGACTGCATTTCAACGATTTCTCACTCAATATCCAGCCATGGCCAACTTATACGTGTGACAATGACAACCCCTCCCCGCCTCCCCCACACAAGTGTGTATTTGCCTGCAACTGGGGACCCCCTATTGTTCCTCTATTGTTCGTAC